CTTTGACCTCCTGAGTGTTAGGTTTCAGAAGAAGTTCTTTGACAAGAGAAGTCAAACTGGCAACTTGGCCTTCCAACGAGGTGTTGGATTCTGCTGCGGCAACCCTTCGAGTTGAGGATCGCCCACTGTAATGTCTGGAGTTCTCGGCCAATTCTGAGATGAGATTCCTTGCTTGAGAAGGGGTTTTGTTAACAATTCCCCCTCCACAAGCCGCATTCACCATGCGCCTATCTTGATCCGCAAGACCATCATAAAAATAGAGGATGAGGTCTTGCTCGGTGTACCCATGATATGGGCAACTAGCACACAACTTTTTGAAGCGCTCCCAATATTCATACAATGTTTCATCTTCTTTTTGCTCAATGTTGCTTATTTGTTTTTTTAAAGAAGATGAGATTGAGGCGGGATAGTACCTATCCAAGAAGCATTTTTTCATTGCTGCCCATGTGTCTATACTTCCCGAAGGAAGATAGAATAGCCAATCCTTTGCAGTGTCTTTGAGGGAGAATGGAAAAGCTCTCAATTTGATCTGTTCTTCCGAGACACCGCTGGGGCACATGCTTGTTCACACAATATGAAACTCAGAAAGGTGTTTGTTCGGATCTTCTCCTCTTAAGCCATGAAAGGATGGCAGTAGATGTATGAGCCCAGATTTTAGCTCAAATGTATTACCTTCATCGAGTGTAGGGAAGGTAATACATAACGGTTGTTGATTGAGATTTGGAGCAGTGAGCTCCCGTAGTGTTCTTGTCTCAAGAGCCATGGTGGTTGACTCTTCGGTGTCGCTAGAACTAGAGCTAGCGGTGTATGAATCTCTGGAAGATGATTCTTCCGAGTCGGTGTTAGAAAATTTACTTTTCAACCGCTCGAAAGTTTGTTCTATTTCTGGGTTTTTGTGATATGTGATTTCGTTTATGGAACGATGTTTAACCATAAACTCCACTAAGCTCAGAAAATAGAAAAAATAAGAACTCTTTATATTTTTTTTTTTGTTTGGTATATATTTTTTTTTTTTTGATTTTTCTTGATATGAAAATAAAAGAAAAATTTATTGCCTTTCCCCGGCAACGACGCCAAATTTGACGTGCACTCGTCGTTAGGTGCACTCAAAATAAATAATCAATACAACACTAATACGTAGTATAGTGTAGTAATGTTCGTATCCACAGGGAAAGGAATATTTTTCTTTTATATAAACAATAACAAGGGGGGTTTAGATTTGTTTGGTTTAACAACACTAAGATAAACAACCTATATGAGTTTAATGCAATGAGATGGGGACTTGGTCTTGCTTTTATCCACTTAATGAAATGTTCGTCGATCCCGGTTATATCTTTAACTATCTTCCTCTCGAATACTCAATCGAGGAGTATATCCAGTTCATCGAGGGTAGTTATTAATAACGAGATGCGTTCATTAATAAAACTTACTATCGAGTCAATATAGAACAAGCGCCGTATATTAACTTGATAGTAGCAATAAACTTAAGATGAAAACGATTGAGATTGATAACCTCAACACAAGCGGTTTATTGGTTTAATCAATATAATTAATTCCCCTTGGCATATTAACCATGAGATGCATGCATTAATATTCCAAGTTTACTACCGTTGAAAGAACCGGATTAATAACAAGCGTATTAACCGATTGATTCTAGTAATAATTAATATGAGAAACAATACTAGTTGATACTTTAAGTAATGTTTAAGATATTAACATGAAATATGAATAGGAATTAATCAATACTCAAGGAAGAATATTAAAATATATGAATCCTACTATGATTAATATCAAGATGTTAACTAATTGTCATCTTAGCAACACTCCCCAATATAATCATAGAGGAAGAAATAGCTATTACTATGATCAATGTCAAGATGTTAACTAATTGTCATCTTAGTAACACTCCCCAACTTTGATATAGAGATAGTATTTTGAAAGAAAGAATTAATATTCAAGGAAGAAGATTAAAGAAAATAACTCACAACTTACAAATTCATTAAGCTTCAAAGTAGCAAAACCAAGATGGAAGAGTTTAGCTCCTCATTTGGAGACTAAACATGATGAAAAATATAAAGAAAGAACTATTCTATACTGAGCTTAGATGTACAAAGGGATTGGATCTCTTTTTTGTGAAGGAAAGGAGGTGTATTTATAGGTTTTTGGGAAGGGATTCAGGTACTCGATCGGGTATATACATGGTACCCGATCGAGTATGTGTGTAACACCCGATCCGAGGCATACTCGACCGGTTTCAGGCTATTTTCTAAGTGTATACCCGATCGAGTATATATGAATACCCGGTCGAGTATGCTTAGAAAGTGGTATTCGGGCTATACTCGACCGGTTTCAGGCTAGTTTCTAAGTGTATACCCGATCGAGTATATATGAATACCCGGTCGAGTATGCTTAGAAAGTGGTATTCGGGCTATACTCGACCGATCTTCGTTTGCAATTTAAAGGCATACCCGATCGGGTATGTCGGTCTACCCGATCGGGTATAGACATAGAATCGTGGCCAAAATCTTCCCTGCATGTTCCTTTGTCTTCGGATCTGATACGATTTGAAGTTCCAACCTAATACCCGATCGAGTATAGCTAATACTCGACCGAGTATAGACCAAAATTCAGGATCTTCTTTTGTCTTTGAACTTTTGCACCTTCTCTTCACTTTTTGGGTTCACCAACTGTACTTTGGGTGACCAAAACCTGCTTAAGCTCAGAATCTGTCTAATCTAACCTATTTACAAGAATTTAACAATCTAATCTATTACACCAAAAGTGTGTAATTTCCAAAGTAAAAGTTAAGCAAAACTAATTAAAAACATAAACATAGAAATGGAAATTACGAACGTATCAGTGCTCTCTCTCACCACTTTCAAATGAAATAAAATAAAACAACACACAAAATACAAGTTTGGGTTGCCTCCCAAGAAGCGTCTTATTTTATGCCGCGGCACAACGTTATTTTTTCTATTCATTTTCAAGTGGGATTATGAACATCCCCTTTTCAAAATCAAATGCCTTGTTTGGTCATGTTTCATTATTCTTCTCGGCGTTTTCCAGTAAGGCCAGACTTTCTTTCTTATTACCACCTCAACCGTAGGTGATTTCAATTCACATTATGTAAATTTCAACAATTCCCCTCCTATCAAAGATGATTCCACACGCTCAATTTTTTCTTCATTTTCAAAAATGGAGTTTTTCTCAGCTTTCTTTTTAACAAAAAGATTTGGTTCTTGTGGTTCAAAAAAATTAAAAAACAAAGAGATTGATCTATTTTTTTCGTAGAAGCCAAGGTGTTGAATTCTACTTTTTGATCGTTGAACTCTAAAGTTAATGAACCACTAGTCACGTTAATTTTTATTTTTGCAGTTTTCAAGAAAGGTCTACCCAAAAGGATGAGTGTTGTTTGATCATCATCTCCCATTTCAAAGACATAAAAATCAACAATGAAAACCAAATTTTCTATTTCTACCAGGACATCTTCTACTATACCCTTTGGGTAAATATTAGACCGATCCGCTAGTTGAATCGTTACGCTAGTAGTGGACCGAGTTCTAAGGATTTATACAAAGAGTAAGGAATGACATTTATTGATGCTCCTAAATCCAACAAAGCCTTAGAAAATGTGGTGATTCCTATTTTACAAGGAACAATGAATATGTCCGGATCGCTACATTTCGTTGGAAGTTTCTTTTGAAAAACTGCCGAGACACGTTCACTAACTTCAATTTTTTGTTTTCCTTTTAACCGGTGTGTCCTCTTGATTGTGCATTGATGGAGTATATGGGTCTAGCCCCCAGGACCCACATACTCAGAAGAACAGAAAGTACAAGCCACTACACAGTGCCCTCGTCGGCCATGCCCTCGTCGGCCAGGAAAGGGACCGACTCAGAATATGATCCAGAAGTCAGGAGAACCGAGTGACCTCGTCGGCCATGCCCTCGTCAGCTAGGAAAGGGACCGACTCAGAATATGATCCAGAAGCCCGGAGAACCGAGTGACCTCATCGGCCATGCCCTCATCGGCCAAGAAGAAGGCCACCCGGAATATGACCCAGAAGTCAGGAGAACTGGGTGACCTCGTCGGCCATGCCCTCGTCGGCCAGGAAAAGGTCTACTCAGAATATGATCCAGAAGCCCGGAGAACCGGGTGACCTCATCGGCCATACCCTCATCGGCCATGCCCTCATCGGCCATGCCCTCATCGGCCAAGAAGAAGGCCACTCGGAATATGATCCAGACGTCAGGAGAACCGGGTGACCTCGTCGGCCATGCCCTCATCGGCCATGCCCTCGTCGGCCACAGGAGACTCACAGAACCGGATTTTACACTTACTCATTTGTATAGCCCACCAGGGGCTTTGTATTCGGCCCATTAGCGGTCCAGTTGTAAATGGGTCTCCCAAGCCCAAGACTTGGGAGCCCAGCCCTAATTTTCTCTATAAATACTCCCCTTGGGAGTAGTTGTAAGGGTTCAGAATTCACTAATACAAAGCAAATATACTACTCTCTCTCTAGCTCTCACTTCTCTCTAGATATATACTCTATCATGCATAATTCAACAAGTTGAGCAAATCAAGCCCTAAACTATTTTTGCCAATAAATAGTCTACTATTAAAAGCCTTAGCTTATTGAGCAAATCAAGTTGCTATATAGTCTGTGGAATACTTCATATAGATATGTCTACTGTTAGGAGCCTAATGCTACTATACGTTCTCTTTAGTCTTTTATTATTGAGTTGCTGCTGTTGTTTTTGGAGTTTGGTGTTAATTTTTTTCTTGAGCAAACCTTCTGTAATGTTTGAGCATGTTCTGGGGTATGCCGCCTCTAGCAGATGAGGTAGAGACCTAAAGGCTCCCGCTTACAATAAGGTAGGGTCAGATCACAGAGGCGTAAAGGCTCCCATTTACGATTAGATAGAGTCAGATCACACGTCTCAGATGTAATCAACCTTAATTAAAGTACACGTTTTCTTATTTTTTGGCAGAACACAAAATAAAATAAATAAACCATTAGCAGATATCATATCATGAATGGCGATGAAGGGAAGAAAACATGCTTGAAAGTAAATTCGCTACGATCCCTTTGGAAAAAAAAAAGAAAAAAGATCGAATTACGAGCGAATATATATCACATAAATCTTCAAGTGGTGATAGTAATAATAAAACAATACTACGTAACATTAAAGAAAACAAAAAACCACAATAGAATATGGGAAACCCTCGGTGAGTCTGGACAGTTTTGGAACCCTAGCTGCCCGCGCCGTATGAGGATTGTCTTTGAGTTTGGACGGCGATTTTTTACAGAGTTGAAACCTTCCCGCACCTTCCACACCAGAATCAGACAACGCTCCTTCCTCGGAAATAGCATCTAATTTTGGTTTCCACTTCGCGGCCGCGGCGGCGGTACTATTTCTGTTCCCGTTTCGTGTCCGCCGACGCATCTTATCCGGTGGGGGTACTACGGTAGTGGCGCCGCCTCTGCCACAGACTGATAACAACTTCATTGTACCTTGAACTGATTAGCAAAGCACCAAGATGTATATATAAATTAAAGACCGATGTATAAGTAGATAACGTAGTCCAAAAATCTTAAGGCTTAGGAAACTCTATCATCTATTTTATAGGCGGTGTTGGTGGTGATCTTAGGAAACAGAACTCCTTAGCAGATATCATATCATATGCATTTATTACTCCCATGTTAGTGTTACTATTTTCCAAACGTACAACCTATAAGCGTATGGTTATGTATCTCCTAATAAATCCTCACGTTACTATTTGTGTATGATAATACCAAATTATGGTATTAATATAATTTACAACTAAATTACTCATATTTATGGAAGTATTATACTCCGTAGTACTTATATTTGGGATTTTGACATTGTTTTTATTTCTGATTCGGGAATTTTCCTAAATTTGTGTAAGTTATTGTGTTTTTATGTTATTATTATTATTGTTATTATTATTATTATTGTTATTGTTATTGTTTTTGTTATTGTTATTGTTATTGTTATTGTTATTGTTATTGTTATTGTTATTGTTATTATTGTTATTATTATTATCACAATTAAATAGTTAAGGGACTATATATTTATTGGGGTTTCCTTAAATATTACTCCATGCTTCCCATAGAACTTGACAAATTGGACTTTTTTAATCAATGGTGATGGAGTATATGGCCCGGGAACCCCCGACCCACAGACTCCTACTACTCCAGTAAAGGCCCAACAGGCCCAGAAGGTCCAACAGGCCCAAAACATGGCGCCCGGAGTGCCAAGCAGCCCACAGCGCACCAAGGGTGCCTCCGACCTCCTGGCCGAAGGCTCTAGACTCTCACAGAACGGGTTTCTCAAGCAAACTAAGAAACTGGGAGAAAACGGCGAAAACAGTAGCCCTCGGCACCAGGGAGCCCTCGGCACCAGGGTGCCATCGGTTTGAGGAGCCCTCGGCTGCTGCTCTATAGCCGAGGGCACCTCACTCGACAAGATCTCCTCTTCACGCGCGTACAGATCACCGTACCCTGTACAACGTCCCATCCAACAGTCGCATTAAATGCGGCCACATGCGGTTGCCAGCGCCAACCAGATGAGGTGACCTCTCGGCCAATGGATGCTTGACACGTGTCCCTGTCCGGCATTTATTGCTACTATAAATAGCACCCCGTTTCCCCATTTGTAACCACGCTTTAACGCCTCAACTCAATATACTTTCTCTCTCTTACTTGCTCTGACTTCTCTCTTGTTATTCCCCGCAATAACCCTCGGATAAGCTACCCCCCAGGTACACTATCCATCAAATGGTAATATATTGTGGACAATAATCTTAGTTATTATATTTGTACGGTATATTTATTTGAAGTTAATTTGAACTGAGAACATTTTCATATAATTTTTGTACTTGAAATAACTTTATATTAAAAAATATCATTTCTCAAAAAATAACCATTATTGATTAACAAAAGTCAGCATCACCAAGTTTATGTGACGGAAGGAGTATTATAGAATAGAATATTCCATGCCGCAACCCACCGATCCGTTATTCTCCTCTGGTCCGACGAGGCCGTACACGACTGGTCCGTCTTACTCTCTTTTCAATTCCATGCCCCAGCAGCTTCCGTGGACGCCGGCGAATCACCTTGCTCCTCCGGTGTTTTCCTGCCCAGCGCACCAGCCTGTTTCTCAGTTTTTTGGGCCCTCTTTTGTTGGTTCTCCAGGGGTGACTCGGCCACAGCAAGATAATCCTCTATTTGGTTCCTCTATGGCAGCTTTGACAATCAAGCTCAAAGCCGTTGAGGATTACCTTACATGGCGCACACAATTTGAATCTTTTCTGGTATCCCAGGGTCTTTTTGGTATTTTAGACGGCTCAATTCAGGTACCTCCCTTATACACAGTGGATTTTAATAATCATCAAGTCGTTAATACTGATTATTACCATTGGCTTCGAGTAGATCAAACAATACGTTCTTGGTTGTTTGCTACTTTATCTCGTGAAGTATTAACTGATGTTCATGATGTTAAACATTCACTCGGTATATGGGAGCGGTTACAATCCCAATTTATGTCTGCCAGTTTACCTAGAGCAATGGAACTTAAACGTTTATTGTCTAATACTAAAAAGAAACCCAATCAATCCATGTAGCATTATTTACGTGATATTAAAACTCTGGCTGATGTTTTAGCTGCAATTAATTCGCCTGTGACTGATCAAGAATTGCTTCAAAGCACGCTCCTTGGATTAGGACCTGGATATAAATTTTTTACGGGCACCATATCGTTGTTTCCTAACAGCTTCCCCCCTGATATTCTCCACCCGCGTCTCATGGAAGCTGAGCAGACTCTATTGCATCAGTAGCACCAGGATAATTTTTCTCCTCAACAGGCTTTTGGTGCTCAAGTTGGGGTCAGGCAGCCGAGTCAGTCCACTGCCTACCGTGGCCGTGGAGGTCGTGGCAGAGGCGGCCGAGGCCGAGGGGGACGCGGCAGAGGAGGATGCCACCAGCAGCAACCGTAGTATGCGCCGCCAGCAACTCCGGTGCCATTCCCACAGCAAGGGTCGGGACCTGCAGGGGGTGTTGTGCCTACTCCGAGACTTTCTAATGACGCATCTGGTAAATCGGTTTTTTCCACTTTAAATATTAATGCTCATTCAATTTCTGGTACTAATTGTCATTTTGCAGGTTTCCCATCAGCTGAGGGTATTCTTGGTTCCGTTCCTTCCCCTGTTGTGTGTCAAATTTGTTTTTCTGTAGGTCATTCTGCGTTGCACAGTTGCACTGTCCTTCCCGTTTTTCACAGCCATCTGCACCTGCTTTGATTACTCCAAGTGGGGAGTCAAATGAGACTTTATAGTATCCCGACTCGGGTGCTTCTGCTCATATGACATCTTCTGAAGGTATTTTGTCTAATAAATTCCTTTGCTCTGGCTCCATGACTGTTAGTGTTGCGAATGGTACTTCTCTTCCCATTGCTAGTATTGGAAATATTACATTAAATACTCTCAGTCGTCCGCTGTCTTTAAAATCTGTTTTTCATGTGCCTCGAATTAAATTAAATTTAATTTCAATTCAAAAGTTGTGTGCTGATAACAATTGTGTTGTTTTTGATAAAAACTAATTTTTTGTTAAGGACAAAATTTCGGGGGCAGTTCTTCTTCAGGCGTGTCATAATGGCCATCTCTACCCCATCAGCCTCACCTCACCTGCACCTGTAGCCTTAGCCACAATTACTTCTCCTGGCCCTGTGTGGCATCGTAGATTAGGACATTGTGGTGAAACTATTTTACGCTTGTTGCGTCGAAGAAATCTTATTTCTAGTTCTTCTAATTTTAAACATGATTGTGTTTCTTGTCGTTTGGGTAAATCTCAACGGTTACCTTTTTCGGATGCTAGTCATAATTCTTCTGTTCCTTTACAATTAATTCATTCTGATGTATGGCAATCACCTGTTTTATCTAATTTAGGTTTCAAGTATTATGTTTGTTTTATTGATGATTTCTCAAGGTTTACTTGGATATATCCATTGCGCACTAAAGACGAGGTTTTTCATCAATTAAAAATTTTTAAAGCTTTAGTTGAGAATTTGTTTAATTCAAAAATTAAAATTTTTCAAAGTGATGGAGGGGGTTAGTTTGTTAATTCTCACATGCACCAATTTTTTGGTGAACATGGCATTCTTTTTCAAAAATCTTGCCCAAATACTCCTCAACAAAACGGTGTTGCAGAACGCAAACATCGTCATCTTTTAGAATTTGCTAGGACTATGCTCATCACATCCTCTATTCCTAGCACATTTTGGATTGATGCCATATTTACAACTGCATATATTATTAATAGACTTCCTACTCCTACTCTTAATGGTGTTTCCCCATATGATATCCTTTTTCAAAAACCTCCTGATTATAGCCTATAACGTGTGTTTGGGTGTGCTTGTTATCAAAAATTTTCTGCATCTCCCTCTAACAAACTTTCTCCACGTTCCGTGCAATGTGTTTTTCTTGGTTATGCGTCCGGTTTTAAAGGTTATCGTTGTTTTGAGCCCAAATCTGGCAAAGTATTTATTAGTAGACATGTTCGTTTTCATGAAAATATTTTTCCATACGCCACATTGTCTTCTTCTTCGACCACACCTTCTCCTCCAATTGATATTAACTTAACTCTCCCTACCACCACTTCCATTGTGCCTCTCCACCATTCTGCACCACCCATGCCCGGCTATATCCTTCCAGCCGCCTCTACGGCACCAAATCCCACCACGATACCCTCCAGCCCAACCGTGCCACAATCACCACCAATTGTCCCTTCCCCGTCTTCGATACCATCCACCCCCACACACGATAATTCCCCCAGTTCCACACCCGACCATTCCCCCCATTCCACAACCATTATCCCTGTCGTGCCTCTGATCTCTTCCCCTGATTCCCCGTCCATCACATCAACGGCTCCTGTGCCCTCCCCCTCTGCTGATCAAGACGTTGTTATCAATACTCATCCCATGCAGACGAGGGCGAAATCAGGCATTTTTAAACCAAAAACCATTTTTAATTTAAATACAATTGTTTTATCAGCTGATCCTACATGTTTCTCAGAGGCTAATAAACAGTTAAAATGGCGTGCGGCAATGGCTGAGGAATTTAATGCTCTTATTTCTAATAATACTTGGGATTTAGTCCCTTTTGATAATACTAAAAATGTTGTGGGCTCTAAGTGGATTTATAAGACTAAGTATAATTCAGATGGTTCGATTGAGCGCCATAAAGCACATCTGGTTGCTCAAGGTTTTAATCAACAGGTAGGTGTGGATTTTTCTGAGACATTTAGCCCAGTCATCAAACCCACCACAGTTCGTATTGTACTTACTTTAGCTGTTTCTTTTGGGTGGGTCATTCGTCAATTGGATGTCAAAAATGCATTTTTGCATGGTTACCTCATTGAGGAAGTATATATGCGTCAGCCGCGGGGTTTTATTCATCCTTTATTTCCCAACCATTTATGTAGACTGCGAAAAGCCATTTATGGTCTTAAGCAAGCCCCGCGGGCATGGTTTCATCGTTTTAGCAACTTTCTTTATCACATCATTTT